GAGTCAAGCGGTCTAGTAACTTTGTCTCTGGGCATATATCCAGAGAACTGAAAACATTTTTGAAGATGTGTTTGTAGCTTTGTGTTCACTGAGGCATCAATCCCATAACCAAAGAGTTTGCCTTTCAATAGATGATTGAGCAAAAAGATACACACAATGGAATTTTATTATGTTTTTAAGATAAAAGTAATCCATGTATGCTACAACATGGATGAAATGAGAACATTTCGGTAAGCAAAAGAAGTCATGGGAAGGAGAAAAGGGAAAATGATTTTAAGGTTCATGCAACTTTTGTTCTTGCAATATGAAAAAGGTGTAGAGATCTGTTGCCCAAAGTGCAGATATGATTAACAGTAAGTGCATGCAAAATTATTAAGATGGAAAATTTACTTTATGTACTTTTAACCAGGGAGAGAAAGATTGAGATTCATTGTTTGACCACAGCATCATGTACCCTCTCTTTCCAAATAGGGAACGAGGACAGTAGAATACAAACCTCAAGGCCTAGCCACTACTGGCAGAAACAGCACTGTCATAACAAGCACAACGTTTCCATGGAATAGAAATGGCACCACACCAGCTGCAGGTTCAGACCAGTCTAGCTTCAGGTACTGAAGAAAGCCATTTGGCCTAGAGTTCTCTCAAGTTAGCTGAATTAACTAAAATTCTTCTGTGCAAGGTGAGAACCAGAGCCTGGGTAGCTAATAATATAATGAGTTGCCCTGGGGTACCCTGCAGTGACAAAATCTGATGTTCCTTCTTAGAAATGCAGTGCAGCCTATAACAAGAACAGCTAGACCAAACCACACCTCAGTCCAGGCTCCTGCACTCAATCCACTTACCTTAGGATGACATTTAGGAATGCCCTAAAACAGTTCTAAACCTGGGATACTGGCGGCTGGATAGAAGCAACCCAAAAAGTTGCTAGAGAAAAGCAAGAGACCTCACAGAAATAACTGTCAAAGAGAAAGGGAAAAGAACACGCCCCAAAGCCAGATCCTAGAACACTTAAAGAATTAATTCTAAAATCTAGATTGAATGTGACTATAAAGTGACACTCAAGAAAATTAATGTCTAAAATATGAATTCATAACTATGGAAAACACTGACAAATTATGTTAGAAATACTTGGAGAGATAAGCTAATAAGTTCTGTAAAAAATGGAAAATGCCACACAATAAAAACAGGAAGAAATAAATCAAGGAGAGGAGGCTATTAATAGAAGCATTGCAACATTCAGAAATGAGAAACACCATGACTAAAATCACAAAACAGCATAAAATTTGAACATAATGAGTTTGAATGTTTTTAATTTACATCATAAAAATGTCATAAAAGACTAGAAAGGATGGAAAGATAATATGGATATGTGATACAAGTTAAATTTTGTGTTTTTTATTGGAGAATTATAACTATTTCGATTGTAAGTTCATTACAAATCACTAGTAGGTTAGTAAAGCCAGTTTAAGAACAGGAAATATAAAGTGAAAATATTTTTTCTGTTTCCATAGAGATTACCTAAAAGGAAATATTCAATTGACAACAAATTCCTACATTCAACAACAGATGCAAGAAGCCAATGAGATATCATTTCATGGATGCTAGGGGAAATGCCTGTCCTGTGAGATGCTTAAAATAAGTGGACTATAGTCAAAGGAAGAACTGGAAGGAAGGGTGTGCATGATCCGTGAGACTGCAAATTACCTCCTACACAGAGATCTTTACACAAACCGAAGATGTCATTACATATAGACCCTCACATAAAGAACAATGAAATATGTAGTTTGGTGAAAGAGTAAACACAGCAAGACTAAATTTGCCACACACAAAAAAATGTTCATAGAAATTATTTTCCAAGTCTGGTAACTCAAATAATTTATTTTGAAATACATTTATTCAGGTTGGTGAGATGTGTTTTAATAGCCAAGAAAATATCCTGCAGCTCATAAGCTGTTTGGAAAGCAGAAACACAAAAATAGTTATCAATGTATGTAATCATGGATAGATGTAAACTGAAAACTAGAAGCAACCATGAAAGGAAGCTAAATAACAAAAAAAATGGGGAAATTTTAGTAATGCGTAAGAATTTAAAAAGAAATATCAAAGTAGGTTTAAACATGCAAAATACAATGATTAAAAAAACAAAGCCAGATACATTAAAACCACGTCAGGTATCTCTATATCTGTATTTATATATCTATATCTTTAGTTATATAGATATTGCTATAGATACAAATTATATAGATTGATACAGATATAGATGATATAAAGATATATATGCAGATATAGATATATAGAGAATAAATGTAGCTATAAATATGAATGTGGAAATAGATGATATAGATAGATATAGATATAGGGTAGATACAAATACTGATAGATATATAAATTAGTTTGCTTGGATTTTGAGAACAGACCTTACCATTTTAGTTCCATCCACACTACCTAACAATCAGCCCACCTTCACTACTCTTCTTTGCTCCTGGTTATTAGCAAATAAAGAGAACTCAAAGGTAGCAAGGGAACACACCTCTCACTTACATCTAAACAAACAGAAACCAGAAAATGACAATTTGGACAAGATAGCACCACTGCATTCCTCTTGGACCCAGCTTCTCTAGGACTTCTTCAGTTTGTACACTACCCACCCTACCTCCACATATCTCCGGATGGCTGTATTGTTCTGGTCACAGGAAACAGGAAGTTGCTGTTCAAATAACTTCAAGCCTTAGTACAAAGCAATCACACCCTAGGAAATCTGGGGTTAACATGTGCCTTTGAACTCACCACAAGGTGTGTGGGCCAGTCTCTCATTACAGCACACCAGACAGAGGAACTGGAGGACAGAGTGTGATGTGGCTTGCACACTCTGATGTTGGTCCCTATAGTTCCATTAGAGACTGTTTAAAAACAGTATACACCCTGCCAGTCTGGGATAGAGATAGGGCATTTAAAGAGGATAGAATCAGATGATCTACGCCACTGACAATCTGCTTAGAATTATAGAACACTTGCCCCCAGTACCCTCACAAAGACAGCACTATAATTCTATGCATGACAAAAGCAATCTTATGTAGCAAAACATGTAACTCAGGAAGTGATCACTGGCTTTACAAAGATGTTGGGACTATTTTTAAATCAGGACTGCAATCCAAACTGCAAGTTTCTTTAAACCTCTATGCCCCTACAGACCCCAGATGCACGCACTTAGCTTCACTTCTAAATAAGAAGCACAGAAAGATCTGAAAATTGAATAAACCTGCAACCTCCACTTTGCCCATCCATTCTATTCACAAACCACTGGCCAATGAATATCAACTCTAGTTCAATGGCCCAAGCCCTATAGTGACACTGAGACCTCTGGCATTGCACCCTGAGCCTTTACATGCTTGTGTGATGTCTTATTCAGTCTTGAGTATCACCCTCAGGTCATTTCCACATTTTGGTTTTTATCCCAGTCATTGTTGGTGTTGCTTCTGTTTAGGTAATTTGAATTATTTAACGTAATACCCTTCTTTTTTCTCATTTTGGTTCTTCTATTTTGAATTAATTTGTGCGGAGTTGGGGCTATAGCTTAGTGGTAGAGGCCTTGCCTGGCATGTGCCAGTCCCTAGGTTCAATATCTGAAAATTAAAGAAAACTTTAAAGGGGCTTCCTGATGACTTCATACAAAAGCTGTTACTGTATCTAACACAACGCATGAAAAATGAATGCTTGTTACTTAGGCTGAAAATGTTTCTGTCTTTCAATATTATTTTGATAATTGACTTGGACATGTGTTTACATGTATACCTTATATAAATGAATATCCAGATCCAAATATGCTCAGAAATAGACTGTCACCTTTGACCTTTTTAAGTTATTCTGTGTTTAACTACCACAGTAATTATACATATGTATGAGAAACCATGTGACATAGCAATAAAAGACAAATAACATGTAATGATCCCATCAGAGTAACTGGGCTATCTGTTACCACGACATTGGGACAATAGCAGCTTTAATATAATATGACGATAGATGTATTACTAATAAGCAAGTATAATGTATGAAATACACATTTAATAGTTATTTGAAGTCTTCTACAACTACCCAGTGTTTAAGCCACAGCTGAAAGACACAGGTATTCACAAGATTACAGAATGGGTAGAACCCTTTAGCTGTGATTATTCAAAATCATATGAAAAAAACATGTGAAAAACATAAATTATTCAGAACAGCCACATTTTTCAGTGGATGAATTAAAAGTTTTGAGATAGAAAAAACAGGACAATGTTAACTTAATACTTAAAAACATGTCCGTGCCCACAGTATAGCCACTGGTACTACACAGTTTGTCATGTGTAGATTTGAAGAGGCAGTATACAAGAGAGGAACCAACTACCAACTATTTAAAGGTTCAGAAATTAAGATAACAAGGGAAACTTGTTTATGTACACACACACACACACACACACACACACACACACTATGCTGATATGTACACAATACACTGAAGTTGTGGTTCCTAATCCAGAGCTCATTCTGCACATCCATTGTCTTTGAATTAGACAATGTCTATAAGTTAGAGAATATGTAATATTGGACACTACAAGAACTTACTAAGCAGAAGCAAAAGCAGAGTCTATGAAAACTTTTTCCCTACAATATGATAAAGAAGACCCACCATAAGCCATCTTCTGTCCTTGAAGGGGAGTAAACACAGGAACAAGAAAGTGTCTTACTCCTTGAACTTAACATACAGGTAAATTCCAAACCGCACCCTCTGGAAGTCAAAACTAGTTGAGAGAATACATAACGATGAAATTAACTGGTTTATTTTCACTCACTAGAACACGATCTTTAATGCCACAATGGCAAAATTCTTGCAAGAGTCCTGAAAACCAATCCAATTAGAAAATATAAGGTGGCATCAGTTCCTTAAAATAATGATCACTTCACTAACACACACACACACACACACACACACACACACACACACACATGAACAAGCTACTTACTGAGCTGTAGAGATAACCTTCCCCGTTCATGGCCACATAGAGGCTGGCTTTCACGCCTTGGATGGCCACCACACGCAGTCCCACAGGAATTAGATTGAAGAGGGCTAGAAGAAGAAGAGAAATAAAAGGCAGGAAAAGATTAGTGACTTTGTGAATAAGCCATCTTGCTCTTGACAATTTTCAGTGTTAAAAATCTAATTTTGGGGAATAGTATGGAAGAGAGTGATGGGAGAGAGAGATGGGAGAAGGGAGAGAGAAGAAAACAGGGAGATGGAAGGAAGGAGGAAGAATTAGAACAGCAGGGGGAACTACACTGCCTTTGCTTGCCCCTGTAGCACCACTAATTACTCATACAATCTCCAGTGAGGTATGTGACCCAAGCAGAACAAAAACGCTAGATTAGAAGGACTGTGATGGCCTACATGGATTGGAATGTCTAGAATCTCTGCTCTTCAAAATTAACACATGAAATATAGGAGAATATCTTTCTAACTAATAACTTGCAACAATAACGTCTCAAATAATAAAAGTAGCAGAAAAATACAATCTTTGAAACATGACAGAACCTGTCTTCTTGCTGTGGTCCTGGAAAGGTCTTGAGCACAAACAATGCATGCTATCAGGGAGCAACAGTGGGGAGAGCTTACTCTTGATATTTCGAATCTTTGCATGGAAATGAAGATATACTGATAAACGATGTGGTGGTTTGAATGGGAGTGGCCCCCATAGATCCATATATGTGAATGCTTGGCTCCTTGTACGTGGAACGACTGCTTGGGAAGGGTTAGGAGGTATGGCCTCCTGGAGGAAGAGTGGTGTGTCACCGAGGATGGACTTTGAGGTTCCAAAAGACCATGCCAGGCCCAGTCTCACTCACTATGCCTCCTGCTGGTGGGTCAGATGGGAGCCCTCAGCTACTGCTCTAATGCCATGTCTACGTGATAGGTGCTCTGCTCCCCAACGCAGTGGTCATGGACTCACCCTCTGAAACTGTGAAAGAGGCCTTAATTTAATGCTTTCATTTATAAGCTGCCTTAGCCATGATGTCTCTTCACAGCAATAGAACAGTAACTAAGACAAATGGATAGGCAACTTATAGATAGCTTGAGTATATAAAAATTAAGTTGGCAAGTTGATTTAAATAACATAAAATAAAACAGTAATATTGTCATCTTTATGTGTTCAAGTTGCCTGTTATCCAAAATACTAAGCCAATGTGTCCACTCAGAACAAGACAAATACATGGACCAGAAAAGACTGTTTCCTATGCTCCTTCTAGTAATGTCTTGTTATGAAGTATGTCATGGCCCTAGGTTGCTTTTGAGGTTACAAAATAAGCTTAAGCAGAAAATATGACCCTGAAAATACTTGTGTCACACACAGGAGGGAAGCAACCACCCACCTAGTTAGACTCTATAGATGGCATTGCATGGAGATACTAAATATCTCATAACTATATTTGTAAAAGAATCCCTTGTAGTTCTCTTTAATAAACTGACTAGCAGAGCTCATGCACCCTAACTACATATAAAATTCCTTCAGTTCTGATACTGTCAAAGTTTAATAGATTTTGCCCATAAATTAACCCAATTGCTTCCACCTGGGTTTTTTCTACTTAAGACAGTAAGCCATCTGTACACACAGCACAAACACAAGCATGTATAGTGTTTAGATTTTAACCATGTGTTGTAGAGGAGCAAGTCTTAGACTATAGGTTTCCTGTAGCAGGACTGGATTCCTAATTGCTGCCACTTCCTAAGTCTCTGCCTCCTTAAGCCTGATTTCTCATTTGTCATGGAAGTGTAGATTACAATAGTTGCTTAAGGATTAATTGTTGATTCAATTTTAGAGCTGAGCTAATTTTAGTTTCTCCTACAGGCTTAACATTGATCTTGCACATTTTAAATTGCTTATGAAATATAAGACAGTCTGCTTATGGAGAGAAAGTCAGGACATATGGAGTAACCTAATACAATGTAAAATTTACATCTATAATCAAATGAATATATACTTCTCCATATACAGTTTGTATGTTGTGGAAGTTCAGGAAAAAAAAAACAAGGAAAATCTTTGTGGTCTGAAGTATTTAGGAAATGTCTCACACGGAACACAAGACCAAAGCTGTCACTTACAAAAGGTGGGTTTATTCTTGGGAAAAATGAGAAAGCACAACATGTAAACAAACAAGCATGCATCGAATGATAGAGATTTGGACTTTACCAAAAGGACATGAGACACGTGGCACACAAAGACTAGAGAGTTTTGAAGGTGGATGTTTCTAGAACAGCCACATAGAGTGTTATGGAGCCACTTAGACTCCACATACTCTCCATGCATTGGTTGGTTTCCCACCTGTAAAGTAGGCATAACAATACAGTGCACAAGTTTACACAAAAAATGTACTATGTTCTTAGAAGTGTTTCACAAATAGCATTATTTAATATTAATAGTAAATATTCCCTCTTGTCTATGTGGATGATTGACGGGCATGGGTGCACCCAGGCCACAGTACACTTGTGGAGGCCAAAGGGCACCCCAGGTGTCTGTGCTCACCTTGCACCTTATTTTGAGGCAGGGTCTTCTGGGTTGCTCCCAGCTATGTATACTAGGCTATCTGGCCTGCAAGCTTACATGTTTTATCTCCATCTCCTTTCTCACCACAGTAACTCTGGGATTATTCTCCCATTATGACACCCGGCTTTATATGGCTTCCAGAGATTCAAACTCAGGTCCTCACATTTGCACTTCAAGTTCTTTACTCACTGAGACATTTCCCTAACCCAATATTTATTAATTCTCATAAGTTATGATCTGACATATATAAAAATACAACCTATTTCCTAGTAGTTTTCTTAGTTTATACCCAGAACACTCCTTAGTGCTTCAAAAGGTAACTTTTCATATCTGTGCATTTTCGAGATGCTTATAAACTCATCTATTGTATTTTATCCTAAACCATAAATGGCATGAGGAATTTCTGGCAGAATGAAGTTTGTATCAATTTTTAGGACAAACTAATTGCAAGAGGTAACTGAAGTGACTGTAACTCTTAACAGGATGTGTAGCTCACTGATGTAGTTAGTTGTCTGTCTAAAACACATATTTCTTCTTTGTACCATTTTAACTTTAATTACCAAGGATATCTGGTCTTATCTTCTCACAAACTAATCTGTATCTTAGCTGACTTTCCTACATGTGCCATGGCGAGTGGTACCTCTTACGGACTCACACTATTTGACACAGGCAGACATCTTAATATGCCTGAAGAACCCTTTCCAAAGACTCAAAGGATTCTTTACTGCCTCTTCTCAACATTTTGTTTTCTTGCTGTGTTGATGGGGAAGAGTGTGGTACCTGAATCATCTCAGACCTGAAAACAAAAGCTACTCCCAAGTGAGTTAGAGCAGATGTGTGAGAGAAGCAGAGCCCCTTAGAATTCTGAGAGTGTGGCAGCGGTCCAGTGCTCAATTACTAAACCTTAAGCTCAGGAGAGAAAACAGCCCTTATTTGTTTAAGTCTATGTAATGCGAAACCTTCCCTAATCCTGACAGAGATTGCTAAGGAAAGCAAAGTTAGTGTGCAAAGTACAGATTAAATGCAAGGTACTTATGTACTGTAAATAAAAGCATCTACAGGGAAATATCGATTTAAATGATGGTTCTTGAGAGAAGGAAGAAAAAAGAAACTGAGACTAATGACCCCCTAAGGAAGAGACTTCTCTGTCAAAGGTTGGAAGCATGGTTGATGACGGTGAATTGGAAGGGAAAAGCCACTCTTAGTCTTCCCATCCTCACGGGCCTTAAGGGAAGCACAAATACTGGTGAGGGATGAGCACAAACCGAGAAAGTCCTCTCTAAACCACCAGGTGGTAATGGCTTTCAGGTGGAATGCTTCTGGGACTTAGCCTTTACCTAAAAGATTCAGTAAATAACTTTAAAGGAAAATTTTCAGTGTTAAGCACTAAAAAAAATCTATTCATCTAGGCTCAGAGACGGGGCTCAGCCCTTGAGTACTACTGCTTTTGCAGTACTCAGGAGTTAGGTGCCCAGGTTAGACCATCAGAAACCACATTACATCCAGCTCAGAGGATTCCACACCTTTTCCTACCACCTTGGGAACCTGAACACATGTGCACACACACACACACACACACACACACACACACACACACACACATGCATACACATGTTCTTATACACACACAATTAACAATGAAATAAATGCTTTGAAAAGTCGGTTCTCTTAGGAAAGTTCTTCACCTTGCCCCCTAAAGTCTCAGAAGGTGGAGAGGGCCTTACTTCTGCTTCATCTAGAGTGGATGCTGGGTCACAGAAGTCCTTCACACGGGGTGAGAATTACTACTGAATGTGATCTTCATCTACAAGCCCCTTAGTAATGAGGCTATTGGACTGTGCCCCATTCTTCACATTCGTAGCATCTGCTTATGCCATTTTCTTGATCAAAACCTCTAGTGTTTCCTCTGTCCCCATCTCTTACAACCTGACACCATCCTACATTTATACCTTACTACCTGTCACCCACTCCATCCACCATAACTAGCAAAACAAAGTTTTGTGCCATTTCCTAACTTCTTGGCTTCTGGTTAGAATTGATTTTGTCTTCTTTTGTCTTCTATCTCTTCCTGGTAAGACTGTCTTCCCACTTGTAAATGTAGATAATTCTTTTCATTTGACTTTTAAAGGTGTGTGTGTGTGTGTGTGTGTGTGTATACATTATATGTGCAATTGCCGACAGAAGCCCTAAAGAGGGTGTCAGATCACCCAGAGTTAGAGTTACAAGTGGCAATGGGCTGCCAGGACTTGGGTGCTATGAACTGAACTTGGGTCCTGTGGAAGAGTAGAAAGCACTCTTAACCACCAATCCATCTCTCCAGCCCATGTTTTCATCCTTCAAGCTCTAAATTTTAACTCCACCTGAGTCCTGCAGAAGCATGTTGGAAATGAGCCTTAGAATAATTTGTTTACCTATCTACCTCCATTCCTGCTTGCAAATCCCTTGAGGGCACCTCTGCAAAGTCTTGCCTGGTAGCAAACATGGTCACCGTTTGTATTCATTATAAGCAGTTAAATAGGTTAAATATAAG